GTCACGGGCGATAATAGAGCTTCCAACTGCCATATCAATAATACTCCCTCCGGTTTATAATAAGTGACCTTTCGGCCATTCTATTTTGCTCCAAAATAAGTGTCATTTTACGTAATCAAGAAGGAATTAATTTTATTTTTTTCAAAATTTGCCCTCATTTACATATCTCAATGTGTTAAAGAAACAATATGCAAATTTTAATTAAGGGTAACTTAGTCAATATACCTTATTTTTTCTCTAGGAGTTAGTATTTTCTTAAGGCTGTGCCAAAAGCTAAAAAGTCATTTATTATGGACCGAATGAAGTACTTAATTAGCACTATTTAATTACAAAAAACTAATAAAAATATTCCAGAATCTTTTAATGGCTAATGACTTTGTTGTCGCTTCAGCAAAATTTGGATCAATAAGGGATAAGCTTAACCGTACCATTAATCTCACACTCAGCGGCGGAGCCATAATTTTCGTTAAGGGGTATCAAAATATATAAAAGTAAATATATCGGGAAATTAAGAGGAGCCAATACATAGTATATATACATATAAATTTTTTTTACCTACCTATACAGTGTATTTTTCCTGCAAAAGGGTGTCATTTGACACCCCTTCATATAACGTGGCTCCGCCACTGCTCACGCTATATGTATACCATCCACGTAATACGTGTTATGGGCAAGGAACAATTCGATTAAGCTCTACAACTACAGTGAAGAACAAAGGGGGTTTGAGGATGTAAGCATGCAAATTTTAAATCACAAATGTTCGGACTATATTAAATTCAAGACATTAGTCCAAACAAATATTGTGGCTAGTAAATTGGGCTAATAATTAAAAGCCAATATATGTATTGGGCTAGTCCATTTAATTGGATTATAAATTAAATGATAAGCCCACTTCCTTAGCCCAAAGTCCAAATAGCTAGTAGCCCGTCTTAAAGCCCAAGCTCATGCCACATGTCAAGTGACGTGGCAATCCAAGACAAATAAATGAGCCAATGAAATCATGCCATGTGTCAAGTGATGTGGCAATCCAATCCAATGAAATTATGCCATGTGTCAAGTGATGTGGCAATTCAAGCCAAATAAATGAGGCAATTAAATCATGCCAAATGTCAAGATGGTATTGGTCGGTTCAAACGGACCAATCAAATCACAGAGCCACACCATCCCCTACAACTATAAATAGAGGTCTTCATAAAGCTAGAAGACACCAGAAGTTATAACAAGAAGCAAGCAGAGAGCTCGTGGATCAAACACTGCAGATTTCTCTACAAGCTACAAGCTAAAGCACTCAAGCTACAAGTTCAAGTTCAAGTTCAAGATCAAGAACGAAGCCAAATCAAATACCAAGGCGTTCAAGATCAAATTACTTGTTCGTGATCAAACCCAAATTCAAGTTCAAGGAGGAGATTCAAGATCAAGCTTTACAAGCCATTGAATCAAATCAAAGTCAAGCTCATTAAGATACTTTACATTCTTGAATAATCAGAGGAATACCATAGAGATTGTAACACTTTTATTTATTGAAATCAAATACTACATTTGTTACGCAATTTTCCAGTCTTGATTATTTATTTTTCTCGACTCGAAAATTTGTTGTTACAAATTTCTGGCACGCCCAGTGGGACCATCTCTACCTCTCATCTCTTCAAATTACCAAATTTCGAGAACACAGAAATGGCTCCTAAGAAGATCAACTTCAAACTCACTACTGCTAAGGCTACGGATTCCAAGTTTTCATCTGATGTGGAAAACTTGCTGGATGCTACTGTGGAAAGCGTATGACCTGTCACTAGGAATAAAGCAAACTTGCTGGGACAAAAAGCATTTCAAATGCCGTCTGCATCGGTTCCTATCTTTGATTTTCAATCCTCAAAGGGGGCAATATCCTTTCCAACTGAATTGGAAGAAGGAGCGAACATTGCTGAAATTGTTGAAAAGACATTAGCTCTACTTAGCCCTTCTAGATCTAAGAACATCATCACACAGGGTGATCATGATGTCTTGATCACTGGATTTGCTCCAAGCACTCCACGTGAGTTATTCCACTCAAAGTATGGTGTAAGAGAAAATTCGTGCTTTGCTCCACCATCCACAACGGTTATCCAATCAATGGTGACTAATACCTCAACTGTTGAAGAACAACTCGCAAATTTAACAAAGGCAATTGAAGGGTTAACGAAGCATATGCAAGATCAAGATAATCAAATTGTCAAGTTGACAGATAGAGTTGAAAGCATGATGGAGGGAGATTCAAGTCATGCACCTGGAAAGCTCATGCAAGATAAGGGAGACTCATCTGCAAGGCAGACAATGACTCCTAAAGAATTTCAAATTTCATCTGACGGGGTTATTCCCATTGACCAATTGAAAGACTTCATTATGGGAACCATCAAAGATAAGTACGATGTTGCTGCCAAGTCTTCTCTCGCATATGCAAAGCCATACACTGCGAGAATTGATAGTTTGAAGATGCCTGCAGGTTATCAACCCCCAAAGTTTCAACAATTTGATGGTAAAGGAAATCCGAAGCAACACATTGCACACTTCGTTGAAACTTGTAATAACGCTGGAACCTATGGAGATTATCTTGTCAAGCAGTTTGTCTGTTCCTTAAAAAGAAATGCTTTTGATTGGTATACTGATCTCGAGGCTGGTTTCATCGATAGCTGGAAGCAACTTGAACATGAATTTCTCAACCGCTTCTATAGCACAAGGCGAACCGTAAGCATGGTTGAACTCACAAATACGCGTCAATGGAAGGATGAACCAGTTGTCGATTTCATCAATCGATGGAGGAATGCGAGCCTCAATTGTAAAGACAGACTTAGTGAAGCTTCTGGAATAGAAATGTGTATCCAAGGAATGCATTGGGGACTTCGCTACATCCTGCAGGGTATCAAGCTTAAGTCTTTTGAAGAATTGGCTACACGTGCTCGTAATATGGAGCTAAGTATGTCTTTAAGTGGAAATCAAGGGCCACCTGTTTATGAACCTCGCAAAGTGCAGGATAAACAAGAAATAAAGAAAGGAGGTAAGTTTTTGCCGAATTCTGAGAGCAAGGAATCAATGAATGATAATGCCTCGCCATTAAAGGTCACTACAAAAGTGAGTAAGAAGCAAAGTGTGAAGACAACATCCTTACAAGATAAAGTTGGCCGAAACTTAACTCTGAAGGAAATGCAAGCGAAAGAATATCCATTCTTGGACTCCGATGTCCCAGAAATTTTTGAAGAACACCTTGAGTTGAAACTCATTGAGTTACCCGAAATGAAGCGGCCAGACGAAGCTGGAAAGACTAATGATCCAAATTATTGCAAGTACCATCGGTTGATTGGCCACCCTATTGAAAAGTGCTTTGTCTTCAAGGAGAAAGTCATGGACTTGGCCGCTGAAGGAAAAATCTTGCTTGAGGATGAGAAAGATAGTTCGAATCAAGTCTCTTTCGTTGTTGGTTCACTTGATCCCATTGTCCTTTGAAATTTTGTCTAAGTACATGAATGTGATGACATCCAAACTACATCATCACCAAATATGATTAAATTTGGTGTTTGAACCTATCGATGTGAGCAAACCATTGCTTCTCCCTATGGCGTATAAACTAATAGTGGAGGAAAGATCTCAAGAGAAAAGTGAATCATGTGATGATCAAACTGATGATGAAGTTTGGATTCTTGTTACTCGGCGGAGACGCTGCAAGACAAATTCACAAAGGGAGTTAAATAAGCAGTTGACTCGGGTAAAAATGGTGAAAAGACCCAAGAAGAAAATGATAAAGAAGAACTGGAAGAAAGCAAAAATGGCGGAGAATCACTATCAAAGGCTACGTATTCCAGTGACATTGGAGGAATTCCTGCCAAGCTGGCTACACCCGCGAGCTTCCTGTGAATATATCAAGGCCTCATGTTGTAAGATAGATGAAGAAGAGACAAAGAAGGAGGATCCATCGTTGTTGCCACCTCCCTTGCTCGTTGCTGCCACCTCCCTTGCCTGAAAAACTCACTGGGAATTCTGAAGAAGTGGACGTTTGTGATGCAAAAATGACATTTACTAATGATGATCTTTTGCTTGGTGAAACATACCATAATCGCCCCCTATTTATGGTTGGCTTTGTGCGAGAACAGAGAATAAGTAGAATCTTGATCGATGATGGGTCTGGTGTCAATATTCTCCCAATTCGTACTGTCAAAGAGCTGGGCATACCGATAGATGAACTATGTGAAGGTCATTTGATGATTCAAGGATTCAATCAAGGGGGGCAAAGAGCTATAGGGGCTATCAAATTGGAAATAAATATAGGAGATTTGCATTCGAGTGCATGGATGCACGTGATTGATGCAAAGACCTCATATAATATCTTGTTAGGAAGGCCATGGATACATGAAAACAAAGTGGTTTCATCCACCTACCATCAGTGCTCGAAATACTACGAAGGTGGGGTCGAAAAGAAGATAGTTGCTGATGATAAGCCCTTTACCGAGGCTGAATCATACTTTGCCGATGCAAAATTCTACTTAAAGAATTACGTCTCAAAGGAGGTTAAGGTTGATGATGTGATGTTGACCAAAAGTGTTGTAAAGAAGGTTGATGTCACAACTAGCAAGGAAAAGATTACAGTTGAAAAAGATCAGGTGCTTCATGATAGGAACAAGATGAATAAGGCATCTTCAAGTAAGAAAGTGACTCCTGTTCTTCGTTATGTCCCAAAGGCAAGGAAGGTCGAAGATCCATCTTCTGAGCTACAAGGTAAGGTGTTAGGAGACTTGACCCTTCCTATCAAGCGAATGGATGCAATTAAGTCATCAACAAAGTTTCTTAAAGGGTTTGTCAAATCATTAAGCCACAATTCGCTTCTAAATCTAGCACTTCCCACAAAGCGCACATATGAGGGCTTTGACCCAAACGACTACAAGTTGTTAGCAAAAGCTGGATATGATCCCAACGAACCATCCAAGTCGTGAAAGCTCCCGCCTGAAGCTTCAAACCCTATTCAAAAGATGATGATGGAGAAAGGGTACCCACTGAAGCAATCACGTGAAGGATTGGGTTACAAACAACCCCCGCCAATCCGTATCTCCATTAAAAGGGCACGTTGTAACTACATTACTGCTAAAGAAGTGTCTACGACGCTTAATTACAAGCCTTCTGTGTTTGACCGACTTGCGAAACCAACGACCTTAGTCTTTGATAGGTTGGGATTGCTGAAGAAGGAAAACAAGCGCCATGGAAGTAATGGAAGGATTGGAGCACCTTTCTCCCTTAAAAGGGAGATTTTGACCACAGACTACCCAGGTCTGATTCCTTCTAGAATGAGGCGAGAGACAAAAATTGTAGTTTCATGCGGAGAGGTCCTCAAAGCAAAGGCTCATACTATAGTCCACACTAAGGAACGGGAGGAAAAGATGAAGAAAGTGTGGGGTCATTATATCATATCACCATTCGTGATGAACAAAATGCTTCACCCTATACGGAAATCGAGGAAAAGTGCCTTGATATTCATGTATGTCCTCACATATCTTTCAATGATGGTGATCCTCAAGAGGATGAAGACGCTAAAGATGCACCACCAGAGCTTGAAGAAGGGGTGAAGACAACGGTTGATGCACTAAAAGAAGTCAATCTCGGAGTAGTTTAAGATCCAAAGACCACATATGTAAGTGCCTCTCTAACTGGTGATGAAGAGAGCAAATATATTGAGCTACTTAAAGAGTTCAAAGACGTATTTGCTTGGAGCTACAAAGAAATGCCAGGTTTAGACCCCAATGTGGCTGTTCATCATCTTGCTCCCAAATGAGGTGCTCGTCCTGTGAAGCAAGTACAACGTCGCTTCAGACCTAAACTGGTTCCCTTGATTGAAACCGAAGTTAACAATCTTATTGAGGCTGGTTTTGTTCGTGAAGTTAAATATCCTACATGGATTTCAAGCATCGTCCCTGTAAGAAAGAAGAATGGCCAAATCCGAGTTTGTGTTGACTTTAGGGACCTAAATAACGCTTGTCCTAAGGATGAATTTCCTCATCCTATCCCTGAGCTCATGATTGATGCAACAACTGGATACGAGGCGATGTCTTTCATGGATGGTTCATCTAGATATAATCAAATTCGCATGTCACCGAAGGACGAAGAACTTACTGCCTTTCACACCCCTAAAGGTATATACTGCTACAAGGTAATGCCTTTTGGTTTGAAGAATGCTGGTGCTACATATCAACGTGCCATGCAAAATATTTTTGATGACATGCTTCATAAAAATGTGGAGTGTTATGTTGACGACTTGGTGGTAAAGTCAAGGAAGAAAGATGATCACTTGCAAGATTTGAGGATGGTATTTGAACGGCTTCGGAGATACCAACTCAGAATGAATCCGTTGAAGTGCGCTTTTGGAGTTACCTCTGGGAAGTTCCTCGGTTTTATTGTTCGACATCGAGGTATCGAAATTGATCAAGATAAGGTGGATGCTATCTTGAAAATGCCCGAGCCTAAAGATATTCATGAATTAAAAAGCTTGCAGGGTAAGTTGGGATATCTTAGAAGATTTATTTCGAATTTGGCTGGAGATGCCAACCATTTAGTCGCCTCATGAAGAAAGGGGTTCCTTTTGAATGGGACCAAGCTTGCAGAAATGCTTTTGAAAGCATTAAGTCATATCTGATGAAACCTCCAGTACTGGCAGCCCCCATACCTGGAAAGCCATTAATATTATACATTTCAGCACAGGAAAGGTCAGTAGGAGCGCTTCTCGCTCAAGGAAACAATGAAGGCAAAGAAAATGCGCTTTATTACTTGAGTAGGATGATGACGCCAAATGAGCTCAAGTATTCGCCTATTGAGAAGTTATGTTTGGCACTTGTCTTCTCTATTCAAAAGCTGAAGCATTACTTCCAAGCTTACGTTGTGCGACTCGTCTCAAGAGCGAACCCTATCAAGTTTGTCATGTCTAAACCAGTCCTAAGTGATCGATTAGCGAGGTGGTACCTCCAGTTTCAACAATTTGAAATTGTGTATGTTCCTCAAAAGGCAGTAAAAGGACAAGTATTAGCAGACTTCCTAGCTGACCATTATTCCAGATGATTGGGAGTTGTCTGATGAATTTCCTGATGAAGATGCAATGGTCATAGAAATTCAACCTCCTTGGAAGATGTATTTTGATGGCGCTGCACATCGTGAAGAAGCTGGCACTGGAATAGTGTTTATCACTTCTCAAGGAGAAGTTTTGCCCTATTCTTTCACTCTGACACAACGGTGCTCCAATAATGTTGTTGAATATCAAGCGCTCATACTTGGGCTTGAAATGGCTATGGATATCAAACAATTGCAATTACAAGTTTTTGGAGATTCCAAGTTAGTGATCAATCATATTCTGGGTAGCTATGAGGTCAAGAAGCCAGAGTTGGTGCCATATCACTAATATGCTCAAAGATTGGTAAGTTGGCTTAGAGAGGTAACTATTCAACACGTGCCAAGAAAGGAAAATAAGAGAGCTGATGCATTAGCAGCCTTAGCTTCTACATTATCTTTGCCTGATCAGACACAAGTCGCTGTTTGCCAAAGATGGGTAGTTCCTCCACCAAATGACTATGAGGGAGAAAAAAGCGAAGTTGAGCATATTGCTTCCGTTCTTGAGGTTGAAATTGAAGACTGGAGACAACCATTAATCGATTATCTTTGTTACGGTATATTGCCAGAAAATCCTCTAAGGAAAATGGAAATCCGAAGGAGAGCCCCTCGTTTTCTTTATTACAAGAATACACTCTACAGACGATCATTTGATGGAGTGCTCCTACGTTATTTGGGGACTGACGAATCCCTTCAAGCCTTGCAAGAAGAACACTCTGGAGTATGTGGTGCGCATCAATCTGGGCCAAAACTTCATTTCCACATAAAAAGAACGGGGGATTGGCCAACCATGGTGAAAGATTGTTTGGATTACGCTTGGAGGTGTAAAGCTTGCCAATTCCATGCTAACTTCATACATCAACCACCTGAAGTATTACACCCAACTGTTGCTTCTTGGCCATTTGATGCTTGGGGTTTGGATGTTGTTGGTCCATTGCCAAAGTCTTCTGGTGGACATCTATACATTTTGGCTAACTTCATCCGAGTCAATATTATCTATCGATTTGGCATTCCGCGATATATATTGACGCACAATGGTAAGCCATTTGATAACAAGTTGATGAATAAAATATGTGATCTTTTTGGCTTCAAGCAACGCAATTCCTCCATGTATTATGCTGCTGCCAATGGACTTGCTGAAGCATTTAACAAGACACTCTGCAACTTGTTGAAAAAGGTTGTTTCTAAGTCTAAGAGAGATTGGCATGAAAGGATGGAAGAAGCTCTTTGGGCATACAGGACTACATATCGCACACCAACGTAAGCGACTCCTTATTCACTTGTTTATGGAGTTGAAGCGGTCCTTCCACTTGAGCGTCAAATCCAATCGTTGCGGCTTGCCATTCAAGAAGGACTTACTGATGAAGAAAATGCTCGGTTACGCCTTGAAGAATTGGAAGCTCTTGATGAAAAGAGGCTAGAAGCTCAACAAAGCCTTGAATGTTATCAAGCTCGCTTGTCTCGATCTTTTAACAAGAGGGTACGCCTTAGATCTTTCCAAGTGGGTGACCAAGTTCTTGTAGTCAAAAGGCCTATTATTACCTCTCGTCGATCTGGCGGCAAATTCTCTGCTAAGTGGGATGGACCATATATCGTACAAGAGGTATACTCAAGTGGCGCTTACAAGATAGTTGACTCGGAAGGTTTACGGATTGGCCCCATCAACGGGAAATTCATGAAGAGATACTATCCTTGAAGAAAACAAATATGCTCCTCAACGCATGAGCCTAAACTGCAAGTTATAATGCTCCTCAACGCACGAGCCTAAACTGCAAGTTATAATGCTTCCCGGCACATGAGTATATATTGTATGTACCAAAGCTCCCCAATTTTGAACTAAATCTTTTAGACGTAAAGCTCTTCAAATTCGAGCAAAGACTCAAGGCGAAAGCTCTTCAAAGTCGGGCAAGGACTTCAAATCGAAAAGTTTTTCAAATTCGAGCAAAATCTTCAAGTTGCAAAGCTCCTCAAAACACGAGCTTAAATTGCAAGTCGCTGTGCTCCTTAACGCATGAGCATAAACTGCATGTTATTCCTGCCCGCAAGAGTATAAACTATGCACGGTCCAAAAAAGAAGTCCGCTAGGTTGAAAACCTCGAAAGAGGCGGCTTAGGCAATAGTTAGGACATCCAAAAAAAAAAGTCCGCTAGGTTGAAAACCTCGAAAGAGGCGGCCTAGGCAAAAGTTAGGACGCAAAAAAAAAAAACTCTCCCATTTCAAACTACGGAATGACTTGATCCTCTTCACCGAGGTATGTAGGCAGCTTAGAGTTTCATTCTAAGTTCAGTCATATGAGTTAAAAAAATTATATATATATATATCCCAAGGCATTATTCAAATGAGGTACGACGGAATATAATTCACTTGATTAACACTTGAAAATTAGGTGTACATGTATTCTTTCGTTTGAACTCTCTGTCTTATCTTGATGGGTCAATGGGGGCAAGCCCTCCATGTCAAATTGAGGTCTTTGATGGAATGATTGTAGTTTCTTTAATAAGAGGCTAAATATTCAAGTTGAAGGCTCCAATTCTAAGTCAAGTTGATTTTGTCAAGTCTATTACATCATCAATTTGAAGTATTCAAGCCTGCTAGGTCTTAAAGTTGCAGTATTCAAGTGCGCCAAGTCATCAAATCCATAAAGTATTAAAAAAAAAGAAGCTCACTCGTTATAAACTACAGAATGACTTGATCCTCTTCACCGAGATTGGTATCTTCAAGACAATTATAGTCTTTAGCAGGCTGCAATATTTTCAAGACCGTCATGTCTTTTAGCTGAATTCTTCAAGTTTGCCAAGTCGCCAAGTTGAATTCTTCATATTTTCTATCATTGATTTGAAGTCTTTGCATGCTAAATTTTCAAGTTGAAGTTGAGTTAAATTCTTCTCGTCCGCTAAGTCTTCAACTATCCAAGTCTACCACGTCTTCAAGTTGAATTCTTCAAAGTGGCTACATCTTCAAGTTTAACTATTATACTTTAACCTTCAAGCTGAATCATCAAGTTAAAGTCTTCAAATCCACTAAGTCTTCAAATCTGTCAAGTCTTCAAGTAGAAGCCTTTAAGTCTGCCATGTCTTCAAGTTAAAATGTGTAAGTTTAATTCTTCCGAGCACCAATTCTTCAATTGAAAGCCAATAAGAAGCCCCCATAATAGTCTTGAAGTCTTCAAATTGATATAGCCTTCAATTCTTTAGTTGGAAGCTTTAGTATATCTCCAAGTGTATGGTAAAAGCCTTTGATATAGTCTGCACCATCTTTAAATATTTATATCTTGAATCATTTAAAGGAAGGTTTTAATATATCTTCAACTCTTAAACTGGAAGTATTTGAAATTTTGGCTTGCACGACTTGATTTATGTTGCAGAAAAAAAGATTCTTCGACCGTGAGGTTATCTTTACTAAAGTAGTATCTTTGGAATTGATTTCTTCTTCTACCTGCAAAAAAAAAAGGAGAAACATATCTATATAAAGGAGATCATAAAATTACCTGTGAAGATTGAAGTTGAAGAGATATTCTTGGTGGTCAGCTTTTTGAAACAAATAAATCATGCTTCATACAATCTCTGATTCATGTATCTCGAAATGAGGACGAGTTTTCATTCCTTTGCGCCAAAAGGTCAAATCTTTTGGTGGTTAAGTAAAATCTTCAAGTTAGATTGTATAATGGACTTTGCTGGTCTTCGTCTTGGACAAACTATAGTCTTCAGCTTAGATGGTGTTATGGTATTATCCTCGGACAAAGTAAAGTCTTCAGCCTAGAGGGTTGTCTTCGCCTTGGACAAAGTATAGTCTTCAGCTTAGACGGTGTAATGGTCTTAGCCTCGAACAAAGTAAAGTCTTCAGCCTGGATGGTTGTCTTCGCCTTTGCAAAATAAATCTTTGGCTCAGACAGTGTAATGGTCTTTGCCTCAGATAAAAAGTAAAGTCTTTGGCTTAGATGATGTAATAGTTTTTGCCATAGATAAAGAAAGTCAAGTTTTCAAATAAAATAAAATCTTTAGCTCAGACGGTGTAATGGTCTTCGCTTCAGACAAAATAAATCTTTGGCCCAGACGATGTAATGGTCTTTGCCTCAGATAAAAGTAAAATCTTTGTCTTAGATGATGTAATGGTCTTTGCCATATATAAAGAAGTCAAATTTTCAAATAAAATGAAGTCTTTGGCTTAGATGGTGTAATGTTCTATGCCTCAGATAAAATGAAGTTAAATCTTCAAACAAGATGAAGTCATTAGCTTAGACGGTGTAATGGTCTTCGCTTCAAATAAAATGAAGTCTTTAGCTCAGACGGTGTAATGGTCCTCGCTTCAGATAATAAATCTTTGGCTTAGACAGTGTAATGATCTTTGCCTAAGATAAAGTAAAATCTTTGGCTTAGACGGTGTAATGGTCTATGCCTCAGATAAAATGAAGTTAAATCTTCAAACAAGATAAAGTCAATTTCTTGACGTGTAATGATCTTCACCTAAGACAAAGTAAAATCTTTGGCTCAAACGGTGTAATGGTCTTCACCTCAGACAAAGTAAATTTTGGCCTCAGACGGTGTAATGATCTACACCTCAGATAAAGAAATCTTTGGCTCAGATGGTGCAATGGACTTTGCCTCAGATAAAAGTAAAATCTTTGGCTTAGACGGTGTAATGGTCTTCGCCTCGAATAAATTAAAGTCAAATGTTTAAATAAAGTAAATCTTTGGCTCAGACGGTGCAATGGTCTTCGCTTCAGACAAAGTAAAGTCTTTGGCTCAGACGGTGTAATGGTCTTTGCTTTAGGTAAAACAAAACCTTTGGCTCAGACGGTGTAATGGTCTTTGCTTTAGGTAAAATAAAACCTTTGGCTCAGACGGTGTAATGGTCTTTGCTTTAGGTAAAATAAAACCTTTGGCTCAGACGGTGTAAACAAAGTAAAAATCTTTGGCTTAGACGGCGTAATGGTCTTCAAAAAAAAAAAAAGAGAATCTTTGGCTTAGATGGACTCTAGCTATATAAGTACAAAAATATATCTCAAAAAAAAAAGAGAGAGGAAGCATTTGAGTGAAATATGAGTACAACTTGCGAGAATCAGTATGAGAATACATGAAAATGACTTACATAAGCTAAGCCTATTTGAAGTTCAAGAGCAACTGGTTAAGTTAGTGTGAAAAGCTATTACATGGATCAAAGATGGAATCATAGCAAAAGTATTTCATCTAAAGACAATCAAGTCAATTCTATTAAAGACTCCAGGAGAAATATGTGAAAAGTAATTTACTAGTCTTATAATATTGATGGTCTTATAATACTTCTGCTACTTTGGGTTACTACGAGTAGCACATGTATGAAAAGAAGAGCACATTGAATTAAAGAAAAGTTGCAGTGAATTTTACAATTCGTTAGTCATTGGCAGTGAGAATTTTTTTTGAAAATATGCATGGATAAGTTCATAAATGGCCCAAGCAAGCAATCAGTGCATGGATTAAGAAGAAAAAAAACAGAAGTCTGCAATTGATAAAGCTATGCGATGCAAAATATGCTATAAAAAGAGAGAGGGATTAGTACGAGAGCAAAAGAAGCGAGATCGTACTTCTCCTTACTTGAAAAAAAGAATATATCGTACTTATTTTCTGGGCAAATAACACAAGAAATATTCAAGTTCCTTCATAGCTATGAAGAATATAAAAGGAGATGACTACCTTCTGGAAAAAATATGCAGAGAACTCCTTACTCTTCCCCAGTTTGCAAAAAGTACCGGTATTGTGAATTTTGATGCCAATGTCTCTTGTTTATATAGAGCCCATACATGGGTAGTAGCAGTATCCCAAATAGAGTAGGTCAGTCTAAGATGAATATCTTTTTCTAATAAGCATGTGATAATCCTATTCCTATCCAATCTCTAAGGATAAGTGTCCTACTTATTTGGTTATTACTGTAGTTTATCAAAATTTAATCAAGCGTGGCAATCCATGAGAGTTTTGATGCTTAAATTTTTTTGAAATTACCATCAAATATGGAGGCTCAACTTATTGGTCGAATAACCATGTCTAGTACTCACAATTTTACTAATTCCTACGGGCCAAAAAAAAAAAAAAGGAAGTTAGAGTGTATTTGCCTTGGAAACTTTTACATTATGCATTTAAAATATATAAGGACTTTGCAAATAAATTCTTTAAAATTATATATCACATGGGTTTTTGAAATGCGGCTCTCACGGGCATTTGCATCTATACTCGCTTTTTGTGCCACATTTTAACCTGTGCCCGCTTTGCAAAAAAAATTGCAAGCGTACCCGCTTTTTCACATAACTTCAGCACACGGGGCTGAAGTAGCAAAGGCAATTACACAAAACTTCAGCATTTAGTAGCCGGGCCTGAAGTTCAGCTCTAGAGCTGAAGTTTTTTTTTTAACTCGCAAACTTCAGCTCTAGAGCTGAAGTTTGCCAGTTATAAAATAAAAACTTCAGCTCTAGAGCTGAAGTTTTATTTTATAAGTTTTTGTTTAGTAACCGGGAAACTTCAGCTCTAGAGCTGAAGTTTGCTAGTTATAAAATAAAAACTTCAGCTCTAGAGCTGAAGTTTTTGTTTAGTAACCCGAAAACTTCAGCTCAAGTTATAAAATAAAAACTTCAGCTTTAGAGCTGAAGTTTTCCAGTTAAAAAATAAAAACTTCAGCTCTAGAGCTGAAGTTTTCAAGTTATAAAATAAAAACTTCAGCTGAAGTTTT